ATCCCCTGCCCCGCTGTTTTCTGTAACCTGCTGATCATCCCCCCTCCCTTCTGCCATCCAATTCCCTTGCTTCCTTCCCTACCCTGCAGCGCTGTATAGCCCTTGTGGCTTAGCGCTTCTTTTTGATTATAATAATAATAATTTTACTGTACACACAAAAGTATTTGAAGCTCAGTGCGAGTCTCTGCTCCTTTATTTATGCCACAATAAAAATGTTTACCCAGAGAAAATATAAATTTATTTGAAAGACAATAACAATCCAACAAAATTTAAATATTTTGAGTTTTGTGAATATGTACGAATTTAATTTCAAATTAACCTTTATATATTGATAATAATTCCCATTGGCGGATAGATAAATAGAACCTCTCGTTTTATTCATTAATCTCATGACAGGGAGAATAAGAGTAAATCATAAGAGGGGCTCTTGATCCAGGGAATGGGACTTATCCTCTCCATTCCTTAGATCGAATCTGAATGCCTCCCATTTCCTAGGAAGTATGACACCCCCTACGGTTTTGGCGCTTCATCCTGAATAAAAAGGGATGTGATCAAAATGTGACGTCATAAGTGGGCGGGGACTTGATACAAGCGCTGGTTGAGTACTTACGAGGCCCCGCCCACTATCAAGGTCACTCGGGAACTCATTGGTAGAATCCCTTCAAGGGAGGATCCTTGATGCTGGTGAGGGGCTCTTGATATAGGGAATTGGATCTGTGCTCCAGTTCCCTGAATTGTGCCTGAATACCTTCCTTCCCCCTCCCCCCACAGGCATTGTATAATCCTACGGGTTTAGCGCTTCCCAATGACTATACGTATTTGTAAAAACAGTTACAAGACCCTCACCTACTAATGACGTCACTCGAGAGCCCGAACTTTATTGGTAGAAACTTTTACAAGGCTCCACCCACTAATGACGTCATGCAAAAACAGGCATTTCATTGGTAGAAGCTTACAAGGCTCCGCCCATTAATGACGTCACTGAGAAATTAACAGAAGCTTATGTCTTTCTCTTCTCTCTCTTAGTAATAAATTCTCACTAGATGGCGACACCTGCTTAAAAAATATATAGAAATCGACTTGTTCATATATAAGTAGAATCTTGTGGGTTTAGCGCTTAGTTATGATTATAATAATAATACATAAATCTAAGCAGTCTTAAAAACGTGCATAATATAGCTGCCTTTCAATATTTTCTAGCATATTCTATACCTGTGTATTAAACAGAGACTTTAGTGGGGTTTTATTATTATATCCATGATGAAGCACTAAACCTGTAGGGGATCATACAGTGCAGGGATCTTGGTCCAAGGAACAGGAGTCATTTTCTCCTTATAAAGAATGTACTTGATTACTTCCACTTCCCCAGGTGATGTCTGACCACAGGATCTGACCATACCAAGGTAATATATTAATATTAATAAGCGCTAAACCCACATAGGTCATTCAGCTCAAGACGTACTAAATGAAGGTTTGATCCTCCGTCTGCAGAACGTTAGATTCGCTATATCACTTAGTTCCACGAATTATTCTTAACCACTTGTTATTTTGTTCTTCAAAGGTAAAACTAACTTAAGTGAACAAGGACAATTTGTTCTTATTTTTAGGATGGATTGTGTAGAAGACAGAAAATACTGCATCATGTACAAGTGACAAGTTGTCAACATCTCATAAGGAAGGGTTGCTAAGTGGCACAAATTTATTATAGTCTATCCATGAAAAGAATTTTGATTTCTACGTTTTCTGTGTACAATAAATATTCAACGCCATCTATTGGCGTCAATAACACTAACAAGTTGTCAACAGCAAGTCATAAGAGATGGTTGGTAAGGTGACGAAGTCTTTAAAACTGGCATTTCATTGGTAGAAACTCTTACAAGGCTCCGCCCACTAATGACATTAAAACTGGCATTTCATCGGTAGAAACTCTTACAAGGTTCTGCCCACTAATGACATTAAAACTGGCATTTCATTGGTAGAAACTCTTACAAGGTTCTGCCCACTAATGACATTAAAACTGGCATTTCATTGGTAGAAACTCTTACAAGGCTCCGCCCACTAATGACATTAAAACTGGCATTTCATTGGTAGAAACCCTTCCAAGTCTCCACCCACTAATGATGTCACTCAAAAACTGGTATTTCATTGGTAGAAACTCTTACAAGGCTCCGCCCACTAATGGCATCACTGACAGAAATCAACAGCTTCTTATGACTTGCTGTTTTCTCTCTTAGTCATAAATTCTCTCACTAGATGGCACAAATCGACTTGTGGGGTTTAAGCTTAGCTATGACTATATATAATAATTGTGATTATAATAATGTTAATCATACAGAAAAAAAATGTAAGCAGTCTTAAAAACCTAAACAGAGACTTTAATGTTTTTTTTATTATATTAGTGATGAAGCACTAAACCTGTAGGGGTCATACAGTGCAGGATCTTGGTCCAAGGAACTGGAGTCATTCTCTCCTTATACTGAATGTACCTGATTACTTCCAG